CACACTCTTAATCTTGCTCTTAAGAACATTTGTGCTGCGAAGGAAATTGGAGTTGCTGCATATGCTTATGATGAGTGCCATTGGATCACTACTGTGATTGATGATGTAATGTTTGTGAAAAATTTCATCATGAATCATTCTATGAGATTAGCTATTTTTAATGAGTTTGTACCTTTGAAGCTACTTTCTGTTGCAGATACACGCTTTGCATCTGCAATTGTTATGCTAAAAAGGTTTAAACTTATATATCATGGTCTCCAAACAATGGTCATAAGTGACAAATGGGCTTCTTACAAGGAAGATGATGTTGGGAAAGCAGCTGTTGTAAAGGAAAAGTTGTTGAATGATGTTTGGTGGGATAAGATTGAATATATACTCCCATTCACATTGCCTATTTATGAGATGCTTAGATTTTGTGACACTGATAAGCCATGTCTACATTTGGTTTGTGAGATGTGGGATTCAATGATTGAATAGGTGAAGGCATCCATCTATAGGCGTGAAGGGAAGTCAGAAAATGAATAGTCGTTCTTTTACTTTGTAGTGCATCAAATATTAGTGGAAAGGTGGACAAAAAGTAGCACACCTCTTCATTGCCTTGCTCATTCTTTGAATCCAAGGTATAATTCACATTTGACTCATGAATCCAAGGTTTATACTTTAATTTTTTTCATTGCATAATTTACTTATTATTTTTTTTCTAATTATGAAATCTAAGCATTATAGTGGGATGTGGCTTCATGAAAATCCCATTTGTGTTCCTCCTCACAAAGATGTTGAAATTTCTGAGATGAGAATCAAGTGTTTTAAGAGATACTTTCCTGATTCAGATGAGAGAATGGTTGTTAATACATAGTATGTGAAGTTTTCAGGTTGTTTGGAAAGTTTTAGAGACTCTGACTCAATATGTGACAGAGGAGTAATGGAACCAGTGGTTTAGTGGTTGGCACATGGCTCTTCTGCACCTATGTTCCAATCCTTGGCAGTGAAATTACTTAGCCAACCATGTTCCTCACCATGTTGTGAAAGGAATTGGAGCACCTACTCTTTCATTCACTCTATGAGGAGGAATAAAATGACACCACAACGGTGCGAGGATTTGGTTTTTGTGCACTCCAATATTCGTCTCTTATCAAGGAGAAGTCAACTATACACAGAAGGAGAGAACAAGTTATGGGACGTTGGGGGAGATGCATTTGATTCATTGGAGGGTTCTGGTTTCCTTGAAATTGCAAATCTTTCACTTGATGAGCCAGAGATGGAAGCTATTTTATTCAATGAAGAAGTTGATAGAAGTGAACTTTGAAGTGTCAAGTTTAGATATATAGGGCTTTCTTTTGTTTTTTTTCCTTTGCTTGTGTTATGGACTGAATTGGCCTTGTTTTTCTTTTGGTGTTGGTTATTTTTCCTTTGCTTGGATTATAGATTGAATTGGTGTTGGTTATGTTATGTTGAATTCAAATATATTAATATTTGTCTTTTAGCTTTATAGTTCTCTTTTTAGTTTTGATATTTAACTTCAATTTGTACGATGGATCTTTTAACCATAATTATAAAAAATAAAAAAATAAAAAAAATATCGGCGTACCACAGCCGTACCCGTACCCTACTTTTTTGGGATTTTGCCGTATCGGCGTACCCGTACTCGTACCCGTACCGTACTCATACCCGCACCCGTGCTTCATAGATAAAACCATAAGTGTAATTTCATACTTATCGTAAAACTCAATTAACTTATTGTAAAACTCTTCAAAACTATACTTTGAAAACACTATTTCATAGTTGAAGTTGTGTTGTCAAAATACGCTTTTCTAATTTCCTCAACTTATTTTTCTTTTTTATTTTATTTATGTTTTTATTCCAAGATTGGTTTCATAGCAAATATCTCTTTCTTCGACTCATCAAAACAATTATCTACTAACCACTCAAGGACAGATTTTCCTTCCTTGTACTTTTGGCTATTTTCATGGGTAGTCTCCTGAAAATAAAAACATAAAGTAATTAAACACCAGAGTCAAGTCAACTAAACACGTGCAAACCATAACCTTAAGAACTCTGCCTCATGCTCTTACGTATTTCCATCCCAAAATTGATCCACACCCAACGCAGAAAATGTCAGCAACAGTGTGCAATCTGGTCATCAAAATTCTTTCTTCTCCCTCTGCGACATTCACTCTGTCAGATATAAAGACGCAAGACAAAACATAAGAACAATGAAATGTCAATGTACAACATCAACGACTTAAAATGTTACAAACAACATATAATTTAGCATGCCAATCCATTGCATCCTCAATTCTCTAATTCCCAGTTTTGTTTGCTGAATTCTGATAATCTCACAGTTCCAAAATCATATTTTTTCTCACATTTGAACATGAAAGAAGTGAAGAATAAGATTGAGAAACTAATGCTTTAAGACAATCAAATACTTATCTTCGATTGGAAGTGTAGACTCATTCACATTCTTTGTATGAGTGTTCTTGGAGATGCAAGATTAAGCATTAAAAACCTAAGGAAGATCAAATTATATTACAAAATTATCTATTAATTTGGGAGGCAACAAGAGAATCACATCAAATTTATTATTTTAGACAGCCCTAATACAAACGAGCACAGGTAACAACATGAAATAATGAGGCAAAACAAAAACCAATAGCATGTAAATTATTTGTAAAGTTGAGTGACTTACAGTGACTCCTGCACGAACCACAAATTTGTGTGGAACATTATTCACACCAAGTGAGATTTGAAAAATTTTAATGCTATACATCAAAGTCTTAATGGACGAATTAAATACGCCGAGAGAAAGAATGCACGTGGCAGTTCTAGAGAAAAACTACCTTTTCATCACCCCTACAGATAAAGTACTGATACATTACAACTACTTAAATAAAAAGAGTCAAAAGGCAAGTAATAACACGCTTTCTTGCATAAAGCTCACACAAGCTTTTGATAACCAGCACAATAAAATTAGATCTCAGATGGTTATAAACAAAAATTCAATCTAACCTCGGACAGTAATCTGCTGCCAATTTTTCCAATTTTGGTTTTAAATATACACATTTCTTGCGCCAGCTTGCCATCCTACAAATCCAAGTAAATTCACATGACAACCCAACTCAATTCAATATAAGAGGAATCATAATCCTACAAATGAAAAGCAAGGGAAAAAATTCCACAAAAAAATAAATAGTAAAGAAACAAAACAAAAACTGAAAAAAACTGTCATCACATCATAGCATGACCTTTCCACCAACAATCATCAATGGAACTTTTGTCTCAAAAGTTTTTACTGACCATACTTGTTATTCCTAGTTGACAATCAATAGAACTTTTGTCTCATGGCATAACCTATCAACCCTAGTTGTTATTCCATCAAATGTTCATATTTTATCTTTAAACCAGTAAAAGAGAAATCCATTGCAAAAAAAGAAAAAAAGAAGAAAAAAAGAAGTGGCAGCATGTCGGGATTCTATTGATATCTCATCAAATTAAGAGGCGGTGCATATGACCATAACATGATACCCAACCTTAAGTGCTCAATAATTGTAATAACATGATACCTGTTATTCCTAAACACCGACACCACTCCCGGCATCTCTGTTTCCATTTTTTCAATACAAAAATAATTTGAGAGTCATGGATATGAATTAATCAAATGATGAGAAATTGTTATAGTACTAGTTTCATCAATATGTACCGGCTAGTTGGGAAGCTTGGTCCTCTGTCATCTTGGCTGCAAAGCCTCTAAAACCATGTCTGTAGCTGTATATATGAGATGCTCTGGCTTGTTCAACACTGTATCACAACATAGTCATCAATAGAACACAATGCGATCAACACAACCAATATTACCCACCAACACCAATTTGTATTTCAACCTTGAAAATGACTAGAATTTGATGTGGATCAGATAAGGGCATATTAAAGTTGGGGTAAGAGTATATCAGCCAATACTGTTAGATATCATCTTATAAATAAATCTAGCATTCAACAAAGCCATTTGAAGATAAAGAAGAAGAATGCAAGAGCAACAAAATTTGAGTGTGAAAACATTTATTTACAATTCAAGAAGGGAAGAAAAGAGCACTGGGCTGACCTTCCTTTATGAATAGCAGTAAGCATTTGGTGGTTCTGTAACAAAATTTCATCCGGGTCATGACCATCCATAGACTACATACACCTGCATATAATTTTAAAGAGATAAGGGAAAGAACTTCAAATTTTCATCAGAGTATCCACCAAGCTCATGAAGCATCACAACACAGCCTAATTACACACCTTAGAAGAAAAACAGAAGCCAACTTCAGCAAGAAAAAGGCAAAGAAATAGATTAACAATATGACTACTATTAGTAGTAGTAATAGTATTTCTTGATGAAACCATTTCCAAGTCTCAAACTGGTTTCCACAATTTTTTTAGAAGAAAATTTGTCTATCACTACAACTAGATTTATCAGGTTTTTTTTTTTTTTTTTTTTCTTTCTTTCTAAAAACTCCTTCAAAACACTGATTGTAAACCCAAACACAAGACTAAAAATATAGGAAACAAATTATTATTTTTAAATATTCTGGGAATAATTACCAATAAATGTAAAAATGATGACGATCGAGGCCTCAATCAATGCATCGCCAAAGCCCTAATGGGAATCAAGAAGAAGAAGGAGTTATCTCTATATCTCCCTCTCTCTCTCTCTCTCTCTCTCTCTCTCTCTCTCTCTCTCTCGCTAAAACTCTCAACGTCATTAACTTGAAATGCAAGAAACTCACCGATTTTTTCTAGATCCATTTTCCATCAAAGTAAGTTTCAGGAAAGAAAACACATACGTATCTTTCATAACCATGGGAAAATTCTCTGTACGTTCAATCGAAATGTTGAGATTTTTCGTAACCATGGGTATAGCGATCCCGGGTTTACCCTTGTTATACCGTGATCCGGACATGTGTCCGTGGATGTGGGTAGTTGTTGTTTATCTTGGTTGCATCTTTTTTTCTTTGTGTTTGAGTTATAGGATGTGTTGGGCAGGTTTGTTGCAAGTTGGTTAAGTCTAGAAACCAAAACTAGTTGCCCAGATTTTTGCCTGTCCGCTCGAGCGGGGGTTTCTGGCGCTCGAGCGGAGAATACACTAATCCAGTATTTCCTGTGTAGTGTTGGACGCTCGAGCGTGGGATTGACCGCTCGAGCGGGAGTGTTGTATGTGACGCTCGAGCGGGGGAGTTGGCGCTCGAGCGGAGTCCTGATTCTGTAAAAGTGCTGGGAGTGTGTATCCGGCGCTCGAGCTGGAGTTTGGTCGCTCGAGCGGAAGTCTGTGAGTGACGCTCGAGCGGGGGTTTTGACGCTCGAGCGGAGAGACTTTTATATAGATCCGAGATCTGACTTTTGGATCACTTTTTCAAGATCTTTTCTCTCTCTTATTTT